TCGTCGAATGACCTCTGGTGCTCTTCTGTCCACTCTAACTTTACGGCGTCCTTCGTGAGGTGTGTCAGCGGTGCGGATAGTTTGGCGAAGTCTCGAACAAAGCGCCTGTAGTAGGCACAGAGTCCGAGAAATCTTCTCACTGCCTTCTTGTCGGACGGCGGCGCAAATGCAGCTACGGCGCGGGTCTTCTCGGGGTCAGGCAGAACACCTTTGTTGCTCACGACGTTCCCCATAGGCGAACCGACACTTTGTTGGCTTGAGTGACAGGCCGGAGGTCTTGATGGCTTGAGTGACAGGCCGGAGGTCTTGATGGCTTGAAGCACGGCTTGGAGCGTCTGAGGTGTTCATCGATATCTCGTGAGAATACCACGACATCGTCCAGGTAGACGAGGCAGCTCTGCCATTTCAGACCTGCCAGCACGGTGTCCATGACGCGCTGGAAGGTGGCTGGTGCTGTACAAAGTCCGAACGGCATCACTTTGAATTCGTACAGTCCGTCGGGAGTGACGAAGGCAGTTTTCTCCCGGTCACGTTTGTCGACTTCAATCTGCCAGTAACCACTCTTCAGGTCCATCGACGAAAAATATCGGGAGTGGCGCAGTCGGTCAAACGTATCGTCGATGCGGGGGAGCGGATAGACGTCCTTCTTCGTCACAGCGTTCAGTCGACGATAGTCCACGCAGAACCGCAGGGTTCCGTCCTTCTTCTTTACAAGGACGACTGGGGACGCCCATGGAGTTCTTGAGGGTTGAATGATGTCGTCGTCGAGCATCTCCTGGACTTGATCTTGAATCACTTTCCTTTCCTTTAAAGGGGTCATGAAACGCTTTTCCAACTTTTTCCTGTTTAGCTTTCCTCCTCAACTCATAAATCGCGCATTCCACCAAACAGTTAAAGAAGACGAAAAGGGGGAGTCCCCTCTTGCTCGCACTCTCGTTTGTGTAATCCGGACACATCCATTCTCCCCCTAGAAGATTAGCCCGTCGCTCAATATTCAGACAAAAGTTGCTTTACCCACCCCGTTCATTCCGAAGCTGACAGTGCTGTTGAAGCTACGTGCTCGTTGGGCCAGCCACACTTGTCGCGAGAGCGTGGCAAATGTGGCTGCAGAGAATGAAGTCAGGTGATGAAAGGGAGGCGGCTGATTGGTCCGGCAAGCGCGTAGCTTCCACCACAATGTCAGCTTAGGGGTGAAGGGAATAAGTGAGGTCCGGTTGCGTCTGACGTCAGTTTGGACCCGATGACGCGCTTTTGGGACCGCGGATGTATCACAGTGAAAAGGCAGAGAGGTTGCGAAGGGGAGGAGGTACGAAATAGTCCGCTCTGTTTTCAAATTTTCGCACTGAAAGTCAGGCTTTTGACTTTCTACCTTTTTTCTTTTGGTCCACTGAACGATGTGCTATTAGTAAAATCCCAATCTCAAATGATTTATCCCAACCCAAAAATCGTTTCATGGGCCCTTTAAGGAGACTCGATACGGCGACTGGTGGACAGGGAATGCGTCTTCGTTAGTCATAATGCGATATTTCGCCATAGGTGTTTGGTACCCGATACTCCACCGACACCTCTGTGCGCAAGGTGTAGTTAAGGCAATTTTCGGAACGATTTGCTAAAACTATATATTGTGTTATCATGAAAGTGTTACGATGTGTTACATGAAAGTGTTACGGTATGTTACATGAAAGTGTTACAATTGTAAAGCGTAATGTGAAAAAAAAAACGCTCAATGAGAACTTTTTTTTTTACTTGAATTTCAAGAAGCTATACCATACCGGCACTTTGAGAAGCATCTAATAAAATTACGCGCGCATTTAAGATAGGCGTGTTTTAGCGTGAGAAAGGCAGAACCCGTGCTTTTAAAGTAGGCTTTACATCACCATGTCCGTGCGCTACACTGAAGCCAAGTAGCGGCAATGGATATAATCTATCTGAGAAATCCTAACATGTAATAGGGTCATAAACCTAGGCAGCTATCAGACTCAATATCTTTTTAACCACCATCTCTGCTACTATAGGTGGTATGGTGGTCACTACAATATTTATTGAAACAACAATATTCAGTTGCCTATTTTCGCGAAAATGGATAAAAAGACTACGCATATCGCGTTTTGTACTTGAATCTTAACATGTTTTTAAAAATGTGTTTTAAACGGATACTATAAGACCCTTAATGTTCGCGAGCCCTCAATTTTCGCGAATTTCACGGATTGAAGAATTCGCGAAATTTAAGGGCGCGCAAATTTCGGTCCTTAAGATTTTCAATGCAGGCGTCTGGAATTCGCGAAATTTAGTGGTCGCGACTATGTCACTTGTGACCGATTCGCGAAAAATAGGGGCCGCGAAAATAAAGGGTTTTACAGTATATTCATACGGACTGGCACAACGACTTGTGCATTACTTTATGGAAAGCAATGTTACCAGCTTGCATGTGCGCAGGCAAAAACAGACCCAACAGAACGCCTATTTGCTCGGTGTGTATAGCGCCGATACAAATTAAATTCTCTTTGAGAATTCACGTATTCCACAGCATCCCGAAACCGAGGCGTTCGCGTGTAAAAGGTAGAAATAAATTAGAGATACTACCATCGAACAACTGTGTTACGCACCTATCTTTCTCAGCAATCGGGAGTCGTCCTTAAAACATCAACTAACGCGATCACGCGAACTTTTTTTTTTCCGTCTCGATTTTTTTTTGGGGGGTGATGCGCTCAGCAGTTGCCAACGGGCCTGACGCTCTACGTGCGCGTCCGCGAGCTCCGGGACCTAAAACAATACAAAAAATATAAAAGGAAAGTCGAAACGTTATAGCTTATTATTTCACGGCATATTCGATTAATCGCCTCCTGCGAGCTACCATCTTCGTTTAGCGGGCTTTGGAACACGGTCTGGGCATACGAAGTAGTTCTGGAGAATCAGACGCCGTGAATGCGTCCACAACCCAGCGACTCGGCTTTTAATTTTTTTTTTTTTTTTTTTTGTGCCTGGGTGATGAACTTTGGAAGGGTGTATAGCTATTACACGAAAACTCTCAGCCCCAAAGAGCCACGTGGTACCACCGGTGTGCGGAGAAATATAGACATTTCTCGTCCCCAACCACCTGGTAGGCATATCCGATATGGGCGACAAAAAATCAATAAAACACTTACACCTGAAAGTACAGAAGAAAAAAAAAGAATAGAGGAAAGATTAAACGAGAATGGGTGACGGGTACGCTCATATCCTAAATGTATTCTATCGGCGTAGCGAAGGCAAAACAATGTTTTCACCTATACCAGAAGAGACGATATTCAAGGTGGCGGTGCCCTTGTGGAAAAAGGTCTATATCTCCTATCAGGGCTACAAATCGGGCACCCTTCCTTCTTAGCCAAAACACACAAAAAAAAAATGAAGAAAAACCCGGAAAGAGCAGGAAGGGAGTTTAGTCGCAGCAGCAGTTGTTTTAACGGATTCCCCGGCGACCCCATCGAAAATCACGCGTGTTTTCTTTTGCTTCTCTCCCTCTCCAACGACAGAAGGACGCATCGAGCAGCAAAGGGCGAACGAGCGAGGCACAGCGATCAAGGAGCGAGTCGAGAGCGGCGGGCAGAAGCAGCAACCAGTCGCAGCGCAGAAGTCGCATGCTGCAGCGAGAGCCTCCGCCGGGGCCCTAGAGGCAGGCAGCATTCCAGCGGTCCGGCAGACACCCTTCGGCAGCGGAGGAACCGACCCATCGGACCAGTGAGCAGAGCCGGAGAAAGCCAGAAGCAAAACAAGAAGAAGCACCGTCGCTGTGCCGGGGATATCCGCCAGCAGCCCAGTTACCCCGGACGGACGGGCGCTGCCCAAGATCTCCGCGGCCTCCTTCCCCGCTTTGCTACCAAGCACCAGGACCAGCGCCCCTTCGGCAAGCGCCACGTTGAGGAAGCTACCTTTAACGCGGGGCTGCTTTCGATAGCCGGGCTACTGCCTTGGGCCCTTCGGCGCGGGGAGGAGGGGGCCCGCCCCGACCCCTTGGGTGTGGGGTGGGGGGGACCACGTGGGATGCCTCTCTCCGACGTCTGTGGTGTTGGCGAAGCGTGAGCGATGGAGCCTCCTCCTGTATGGGTCAGCAGAGGCAAGCGCGCAGCGAGGACCTGCTCCGGCAGGAGCGGCAGGACCGGACGTCAGGGTGTCCTGTGCCTTCGGTGCCGTCCTGAGTACCCCTGGAGACATCTCTGGCGTCGGAGACGCGCGTACTGAAACGTTCGGATTTACTTTTACGCGTTGTTTGGACAATCTCCTGGATGCCTACTGTGCGCAGCTGTAGTTTCCGGTTTGCTTCTCTCGGTAGCGAACGATATTTGTGCGGACTCGGCTACAAGGAACAAGGAGTCCCAAGCCGCGAAGCCCTGTACCATGAAATTGTCGTGAACGCTTCGGTTCTTAGCAAGTAGTGTCAATGTCGTCATTGGTAGCGGTGTTTCATCGGGACAGTCGACTGACCGAAATAGTGATCTGCTGCTGAGACAGTGATATTCAGCGTGACGCTTTTAGTTGCTTGGCAAATTCTACGCGTCGACTTGACAAACTGTAATCTTCAGCTGCCTCGATCGTGGCGGGGAAAGCCTCCTGGAGAAGAATTAATGCGAAGGTGAATTTGTTTTGTTCCGAAGCGCTCATGTTGAGCGCAACTCAATAGTCAAGGAGCGACTTACTATTACAACTCGAGCATCAAAAGCCGAGTGTTGAACAAAATTTGAAAAAATGCTTCCGCCTCCGTGCCAGCTTTAAAGGAAGGAGGCAGTGAACGATCAGAATACGCTATCCCGAAACAGGAAATACTTTCTCTTTCCCTCAAAACGAAAGAGCCTTTATCTTCGAGGGTATCTCGCGGACATTTCCCGTAACGCGACGACCCGAAGGCGAAGAGCACAGGCAGCGGCGGGACCGGCGTTGTGGCGACGTGCGGAGTTGTCACGACTGTGAGCGACGAGGCCATGGATACCGACGAAGGCCGATGACAGGGCCGCGGTAACAGCCATGGCATCCGCCCAGGGACCTCCCAAGATGGATGACTTGCTCCAGAAGCTACGCCGGAGCATTGTAAGTGAGCCGTGCCGCCTGTGGCGCCTTTTCGTTTGTTCTCGTTCACAGCTTCCGATCAGGTTATTGTTGCACGCTTGTTGTTGTTGTTGTTGTTTTGTCAGAGGTTATTGGGAGTGAGATATTTTTGTTTTGGGTCGTTTTCTTTTTGTATACAGAAGCAAGTCGTGCCGCTCCCATGGGTATAGAAGCTTGCAGGGTGCAACACGGTTAGCACGAACCCACAATCCCTGAATATTTCCGGGATATATGTTTTTTCCAAGTCTGGTGCTTGTAGTTCTGAAGTACTGAAGCAGTGAAATATGTTCATTGGAAGCACCAACTTAAGTAGTGCGATTTAAGGTGCGAAATTAAAGGTTGTGAGTAAAATATGACTTAAAGGGATACTGAACCGAAATTCGGATTTCGCAAAGTAAGGCTGCAGAAGTGCTGAACAGGGCGCTACGAACTCCAAAACATCACTCGTACATCGATATTTCAAACGGACGGCCGTACTTTTGGAAAAGAAGGGCGCGATCAAGCGAGTTCTTTGACGTAACTGTCCTCCGGGAGAATTTGAGAATGAGGAGATGCGGCCTCGCTTCTCTCCTCCTCGCTTCGGTTCACCAGCTTGACGGGACGCAGCGAGGAGGAGAGTGAATAGGAATCGTGACGTGCCTTGTCTCGTCGGCCTCGTCGGCCGGGTTCAATCGCGCACTTGTTTTCCAAAAAATACGGCGATCCGTTAGATATATCGCCGTATGAGTGATATTTTTTGGTTTTGCAGCTTCCCGTCTATCCGCCCGGCCTTGTTTAGCGAGCTCGAAATTTCGATTCAGTATCCCTTTAAATTCCCCAGTCACGCTGCTCATACGTATTACAAAAGACAGTCTGCATACATGATAATAGAAGTACCTGCGGGCACGCGCGTTTCAAGCTTGTTCAAGCTTGTTCAAGCAGTTCGTGCATACGTATTTTTCGCATATATGTGCAGCCCGTTTTTGGATGACCAACGTTACAGGACCGCCACACAAGGAAGCAGTACTCCCCAGAGAATGTCCGAAGACTGTATTTTCTTATGTATTAGCAGTGCACCCTCGGCTTTCGTGAAGACGTCATGCTCGCGCTAACTGTGCCGCGCATTGGTCTGCGGATCGTTTGGATACGCCGAAAGGTTCCGGTTTTATGCCGGAATATTACTGAAAGATAGAACGGAACTTCTACATTGGGGCTACAATGAATGTTTTTTTGTTTTTTTTCAAGAAGTGTTCCACGCATGCGCCGGCCCTCCTCTCGCAAATGTGGAAACTCGAACTATGCTGTTGGCGAAGGGGAACGGAGTCGCGCTATCTCTCCCCTTAGCGCAACTCCCCTTGCGGACGCCGATGGCTCTTGGACGCCCATCGCAGGAATGTGTATCGTAGCGTGTACCGTAATTCTGTGTACTTTGTATAAATGCGGAGCGCAAGTTCGTCTGCTTCTCTTGCGCAGGGGTTGCGACGATGCCAGAACGCCAAGCTCTTATTGACTGAAGGAAAAATAAAGGGTAGACCTTAAGGCATCTTTCATTGAGGTCTACCCACTCTTCTTCCAATCAAAGCCAATCAGTCCTCGGCGTCGCTCTGACGTCACCGCAACTCCTGCGCAAGAAGCAGACGACTTGTTCTACGCATCTGCGGCGACTCTCGTCGAGCTTCAATATTTATTTATTTATTTATTTGAAAATGCTGCAGGCCTTTCTCAGGCCCTGGCAGGTTGCAGGCACCAATACACAATAGTACCATATACAACACTAAAAAAAAAAAAAAAAAGTAATACATACATACGTAACGACGGAGAACATAGTACATTGAAAATTCCATCGAGCAATGACACAAAAATTAGACACTTACAGTTTTGATAGAAATACAATGCTTCATCAGATTACATTCAACGAATGCCGATACAAAAAAAAAATGAATTTTTAGGATATCCTAGATGTTAAAATCAATGACATTTCGGCTATAAGATTTCCTAAAAGTGCTTAGTCAAGCCATTTACGAACGACTGCGTTTCGCAAATTTAAATTATTTCCTAATTTGTTCGCCGCTAGGGGCGGGTCGGAGATCCACCAGAAAGGACGTCATGCCTGGGTCTTTCTCTTCTAGGTGGTATTGGCTCACGTGTACACAACATTTATCGGCTCGCATCGGTCGCCTGCGAAATTATTCCCAAACACGCACCGATGTAACGGTAACTTACTCTACTACAAAATTCTGTTACGGAATAACTTGGAAGAACAAGAAGTGTATACGGCAAACCTGACCCAACCCCAGAGTATCGGAACAAGGCACGGGAGAGCGTATAGACCTTTTTATTTCAGTAGTTGCCTCACCGGCGGATAGAGGGTGCTGATGCACTCAGCGCCATTAGGTTGCTTCAATTTGGTTGGTTTCGGATTCAACGTGAACGCGGCTATGTTGCTGTTTTACGTTCTTTTTGCGTAATTTTGTGATACGACTATTTTCCTTGTAGCACACAACCAATGAAACAGTGGTATTGAGCCACTTTGAGGAAGACGAGGTGTATTTGAGCCTAAATCACGGGCTTTTTTTTACCAACTCTTTTGATATATCTGATTATGGTCGGTTGCGAAACGCCTGACTGATGTACAGGGCAGATTATCATCGTCCACGGCCGTGCCCGATGACCACCAGTTTCCAGGAAAACAAACTAATGAAGAGACTAACACGTGAATATAAAGAATCATATCGACAGGTTGATTAGCAATCTGCCGAATCAGCCAGAACAGATGAACTCGCGAGTTTACTACTCACTGTTTGGTTTTTGTGGGCACCCAACCTTTAGTGAACTTCGCAAACTAAAAACGTATCGTGTATTGACGCAGATAATTGATATAAACAAGTAGTGTCGTCTCAGCCTCTTTTTCTTTTTTTTTTTAATTCAGTACTTGAGCATGTTTTGACAGGCCGAGTAGGAAATTTTTTTATATTATCAACCCTGCTAAAGTACTCACAAGCAGCATTTTGCGATATTGATCCTTGGGAATAGATTATTTTTATATGAACATTTGCTTACTCAAGATACGATATAAGTGGCAGGCCCGTCAAACTAAATTTGACATTTGTCTTCCGTAAAATTGTCCAAATAAAATAAAGGCTGCAGGAGGAGAAATACCTCGAAAAGTTTGGCTGAATTCTAGCGCTAGGCAACACTTCACAGACCTCTTTGAACAAATATTTCTTTGTTTGAACAGACTCGCTTGTAAATTTCGGCGTCGCCAGCCACCAAAAGTAAAGCTCTATTCGCCATCAACAATCTTGGACTAAAGTAATTGTTATGCAAACGGCTTCTTTTTTTCTCTATTTTTTCCCGTTAAATATTGCGGATGTTAGATACTAACAAAAATTAAAACAGCGTACGCAAAAAAAAACAAAAAAAAAACGTCGTCTTTATTGCGCATATTCCAAACCCAAACCGCGTTTTGGATTAGCAAATAGAAACGACGTTATTTCTTTGTGCACGCTATTCCAAACCTCGCTACGGTTGTCGTGGCAGTTTCTTACGCGGAAAGCCCCAACTGGTTATCTAAATATAATCAATAAATCATTTAAATGACTGTCGAAATGGGAGCGAGCACAATATACAATTTCTTAAACTTCATAAGTAAACCGACCAACCGAACGACTACGTCGCGAAAAAAGATTGAGAACCTCATACAGATATGTAGGTGTGCTATTATGAACAAACAAATCACCTGATGTTGACGTAGCAGTACTTCTAGCCTCAGATAAAATACAAGTTAAACGTTCGTTGTCTATCTCCTCCGCGAGTTTCCTCAGATAATCAAAAGAAATAGATTTAGATATATTATAAATACAAAGAACGATACTTTCAGGAAGTACAGGTAGTCTCCTTGCGCTGACTATTCTTGACGCCTTCCGATCCTAAATACACGATATAAATATGCGCGCTTCTTACTGAGAATGTTCCACCACTATTAGTAAACAGACCTCAGTTGTCATAAGGACCTTTGAACCCTCGTGATGTCTTAGTCGTCGAGTAGATGTATCGGGCTACAGTTTCCGAAGTCAGGCAAGAAAGCGCGGCGAAACGCGACGAAAAACACGATTACAACCAATACAACGCATCCGCCAAGGCGCGGAGGGGAGAGCGGAGCAGCAACTTGAAGCAACCTAATGGCTGCCGCGTCACGTAATTCCAAGATGTCAGCGCCCGTGCGGAGGAGGATGAAAAGGTCTATACCGCCAGAGTGCACCCCTTCCACGGAGAGCCGTCACGTGCTTCGCTCCGTCACTCTGATTGGCTCACAGCTTGGCCGTAGCTATCTTCCTTTGCCGAGTGCTGCTTGGACAGAGTCTACACCAGGGTGTAAGATAGACAGGTGGAGAAACGAGAGCCAAATGAGTGACCGCACTGTGACCCCCTCGGTTTTCTCTTTTTCTGTGGCGCCATCTATGGCGAGCACCGTGAACTCTCACTCCGGGTGGGCGACCGATGGCGACCGGCTAAACTGACGGAGATTGTTTTTTTGTGGATTTTTAATGAAATGAAGCAACCTAATGGCTGCCGCGTCACGTAATTCCAAGATGGCAGCGCCCGTGCGGAGGAGGATGAAAAGGCCAGAGGGGCCAGAGTGCACCCCTTCCACGGAGAGCCGTCACGTGCTTCGCTCCGTCACTCTGATTGGCTCACAGCTTGGCCGTAGCTATCTTCCTTTGCCGAGTGCTGCTTAGACAGAGTCTACACTCCGTTTCAATTTTTAACGGACCACAGCTGACGCTATTCGCGACTCGAGCTAACTATAGGGGGCGCGCTGGTCAGACAAAATGGCGGACGAAAGAGGTCGTTTTCGTCGTTCAACACGCGGACCACCATAAATTGTTTTGCACTGCAGGGTAGAATCGGTGTTACATATGAAAGCAAAGCGATTTTTCGACGGTAAGAACCTTCTTCTAGTCAGTGCGTAGGAATGACACGGCGGAAGCATAAAAATAATT